TTCATTCATTCATTCATTCATTCATTCATTCATTCATTCATTCATTCATTCATTCATTCATTCATTTCAATTTGAATGAATTGGCTCTCCATATGAATGTACCTCTTGTTTAATTTCATAATTTGTTTCTGCAGTACTACAGAAATGTATAAAAATACTGTGCCTTTCGTAGATTTTCCATGATGTGGCCTACAAGGCCAAGGACAGGAACGACCTGGTGGCGGGCATAGATGAGTTTTTGGACCAGGTGACGGTGTTGCCCCCGGGCGAGTGGGACCCTTCCATCAGAATAGAACCTCCTAAGAATGTTCCCTCTCAGGTGAACAGAGATAACAAATCCCAGTGGTTTTCATGTCGTTTTGTTGATGTTTGTCGTTCTTATTTCTGTCCCTGAGGATGTCCACTAACCAACCGTTGATTGACAGTGATCTTTACTCCACAGGAAAAGCGAAAGGTTCCCCCCGTTCCCAACGGAGTGACAGATCTCGGTGAATCTGAGGAGCATGGAGGTCATGGTGGCCCTGAGCTGCAGCGCACTGGGAAGTAAGTGTCGGAGACAAACAGGAAGATACYCTGTGTACACTCTGTGATGGCTCATTTTCTTGTCAACAGTTAGCGGCCTCGCTGGTCCCAAACGGTGTATTTTACTGTCCCAGGAGAAAAAAATAACAGGTTAAAGAAAGCTTCCTCACTCCTCAGCCCAACACAGATCCCTGTGTTTGAATATTCAGAATTAAAATAATAAACAAAAATGAATCACATTTGTTAATATTGCAAACGTGTTACCATCCATTAATCACATGAGCAGAGGTGAGCGTGGTTCTGCTAATGAGATCGATGGATTGATAGATGGCTTTATTGTCTGCTCCATAATAAAACAGAAATGATTTAACACGGCACTAAAAACTAAAAGAAACATGTATCATTAAAAAAACAGTTCAGCCATACCAGCTAATAGCAGAACTATTTTTTGTTTAGCAATTTTAGCTTTTTCACTAACTTCAAAAACTTAGTGAACCAATTATCTTCTACTACCTTTGTCTGCTAACAGCTAACAAGCTAACATCAACAGGTTTGTGTCAGTCCCACCAGTCTGCAGCTGGAAGGAGACAAAGACGTGACCAGAGAGTCATCTTAGCTGTTAGTGTTAGCTTCCACAGGTTTGTTTTATGTCTGATTAGCTTCTGCAAGTATTTTTTTGACATGTTTAGCATTAGAGAAGCTGTACTTTTATTTAGTGGATTATGAGTTAGTGAAGCTAACCTTTTGGTTAGCTGTGCCCACCACTACAGCACGACGGCTCAGTGGTCAGCACCGACGCCTCACAGCAAGAAGGTCCTGGGTTCGATCTCCGGTTCAGACCTGGGGTCTTTCTGAGTGAAGTCTGCATGTTCTCCTCGTGCATGCGTGGGTTTTCTCCGGGTACACTGGTTTCCCCCACCCCTAAAAAACATGTACAACAGGTCGCCTTCAGGCCTCCCTTGAAAAAGAGATCTGAGATCTCAACGGGACTTGCCTGGTTAAAMAACGGTAAATAAAATAAAATGTATGGAGGACCGAAACTGACTCAGTTAGAAATAAAAGCTGAAATATATAAATGGACAGATAAAGAAATAAATACACTCAAAATGCACTCATTAATTTAAAAAGGAGAAATTTATCTCGTGTTTTATAATTTAATTGATCTTTATATTTATTTTTCCAGCATCCAACAAATTACAAATTTTAACACATAACTTAGATTTTACTGTGTTTAAGAGAAATATATATATA